AGCGGCTTCGCCCTTGTGACCTCATCACCTTCCAAGGCCTGACCTCCTAACATCGTCACCTCCGTCTCAACTTACGAATCTGGGGGGACAATTCTGGTCCTTCTGACATGCAGGACACACCTATTCCAACAGCCCAAAGTGTCACACGTTCTAGCAGCAGCTCCGACATCCAAGGCCAAAGTCTCGCTGAACCTTGATGAAGGAGACGTGGGTGATACTCCTGGTGTGACCCGTCAGAGGCAAAGTCCCCCGCTGTGAGCCCGGGAACCAGACCCGTTGTGTCCCCCCAAATACAGTGGAGGGCTGGACACAGGACAGACATTTCTGTCCAGCGGGAAGAAAGGAGGAGAGACAGGCCCCCACTTTCGTCGGTTCTGATTCTGTTTCTCCGGAAAACCCCGGCTCCCGAGAGAAGTTCTTGCTCTGAGAACCTGGCGAGACCCCACCTGTGTGCCGGGGGCCACACGCCGCACAAGCTCGCTCCCCAGCTTTTGATGCCGCCGCCAACACGTTCCTAGAGAATTCCAGGCTGAGCTCACAGCGGTGAAATCTGGAGCTGATCGTGCCAGTCTCAACTCGGTCGTGTGGGCTTTGAGGAGAAAAACTGACTGAGGCCAGGACCAGGGGAAGCGATGGCTTTGACAAGCACAGCCTCCCTGGGACACCCTGTCCTCTGACAGTCCGTGTGTGTGACCTGTCGCCACTGCCAGCCGCGGGGTGGCCGCTCAGCACCGTCTCCCGGCAACACCCCAGTGGCGGCCGCACAGAAGGGATGCGGCAGACAGTTCCTGTCCCCCGTCCTCCCGGCAGTTCTGGGGCCTCTCCACAAAGCATGGAGTCGCTAGAACGGATGTCTCCCTTCAGTGTCGGACACCAGCCAACAGCTGGGCACGGCCTTGGCCTCTCCCGGCCACCTCGAGCATGCTGGGCCCCAGGGACACGTCACGTGGCCTTGTTTTCTCCAGATCGGGCGAGCCCTGATGATCCCACAATAATGAGGGCGTGTGCTCACATGGGGCCTCCACGAGGGGTGGGGTGGGGTAGCGAGGGGCTGTCCTCTCCTTCCCAGAGCCCCCCCCACCCCAAAGGTGAAGGCCACAGACGGCCTCCGGCTCAGGGCTCCTATAGTGACACGGAGTGGGAGCTTGGAGATGACCCCCTGCCGGGGGCCTGGGGTCTCCACCCTAAACAGTGGTGACCCCGCCTCACTCCGTGGGGCATACACCCCACACTCCGTCCGAGCACCTGGCATTAGAACATCAACCCATGTGCCGTGTGGAGCCCCTCCAGCGTGGTCATAAGGCGGCGGGGGCACCGCTGGGTTACCAGGCACCGAGGTGAAGTGAGTGTGCCCGGGTGTGTCTGGCTTAGAGAGTACTTTTTGGTAATGAGGGAATTCCTTGTACCTTTCTGTGGCCACAGATGATTGTTAACGTTTGTCCCTGCAGGCAAGCTGGCACCACTGAGCAGATTGGCCTGAGGCCTGTCCACAAGAAGTTTGGGGTTCAGGATGCCACCGAGAGGGGGCGCTGGGATGAGCCCGGCTCACGGTGGGAGCACGGGGGAGCCGACCATGAGGGACAGGCTTTCTGGGACCAGGCAGTTTGAGTCCTGCAGATGGGGACCAAGAAGCTGGCAGCCATGGGCCTGGGGGTGGGGCACGGGGCATGGAGGGGAGGGGGCTGGTGCACCCCGAGACGCCTGGAAGCAGGGAAGCATGCCTCTTTCTTAGGTTCTAGAGAGCTGCTGGAGACACAAGGCCCGTGTCGCCCACGGATGATTTCGGATTGGAGTGTGTCCCCAGGGTTCTAGGCAGCTCTGTCTTCCTGTTACAGACACAAGCGCCTGACACAAGGTCTCCACTCCCTACATATGGACCATCGCCCCCTGAGCGAGATCACGGCTCTTGCCTGCAGACGCCGCAGGGGGCAGGTCTGACGACATGGCACTGAGGTACCACGTCTCACGGTTTCCAGGCCCCTCACAGGAGGGGGGGTTTCTCACGGAAAGAAGAGACATCTTACGACAGGTTGGTCTGAGATTGTGGCACACAGGCCAGCACCCCGTCCCCTGGGGATGGCCCTGGATCAGAGGCCCATAGTCATCTGTGTCCTCGGGAGAGGGAGGCCTGAGAGCCGCAAGCAGAGGAAGGAGCCACAAGGAGGGCAGAACACCAGGGCTGGGAGCACGCCCGCCCTGACGGCTGGAAGGCCGGCAGGCAGACCACGGTGCCCTCCCGGGGTCCCGGCCAGGCCCAGCGCCAGGATCGTGCGGGGAGATGTGTGGAGCCTCTACCAGGCAGTCCGTGGCGTTTGCTCCAGTGGTGCCGGGAACACGGTGACCCATGATGCGGCTCCGGCCGGAGTCAGCGGTCAGGAGCTCCCGGGGACGGCACCTGCCGGCACAGGCTCCTGCGAGCAGCCTAACCATGCACACAGCGACCCTCAGAAGGGCGGGTTTCCGTGGCCTGGGCTCAGCCCTGAGGGCGCTCCAGCCCACGGCTCAGTGCTGGAGCAGACAGAGAAGGGCCCTCGGGTCCCTGAGGGCATTCACAGCCCGGGGGGTCAGGTGGGGGCACACACTGTGGGCAGAATGATACTTAAACTTTAAAAAGAAATCTTTTAGCCACTTTTAAAATCGGAAATCACATACAGAAAATATTGCAGCCCTGTGACTTTCAAGTTAAATTCTACTGGAAAAACCTCAACAAGAAAGTACTAAAAGGCTCCCAAGTTTCTTTTCTTCTGCCTCCACCCCATCTGCCTTGTTCCTGGAAAGAGTCAATGGTGTAGCCAACGCAGAAAACAGTAAGGAGGTTTCCCAAACAAGGAAACACAGAATTACGATATGATCCTGCAAGCCTACGCCTGGATGTTTACCCAAAATAATGAAGGACAAGGACTCAAGCAGGGGTTTTGATAACGGGGTCACGCCAGCATCCTGCGCCATGGCCGGAGGGTTAGCAACCCGAGTGTCCACAGACAGACGGACGAATGAGAAAGTGTGGTGTATGCGTAACAGTGAAATACTACTCAGCCTTAAGCAGGAAGGAAATTCTGCACCTGCTGGGACACGGGCGATCCTGAAGGACATATGTTCAGTGAGGTAAGCCAGCCGCAAGCATAAATCCGGTGGGATTCCGCTTGTGTGAGGTCCTGAAGGAGTCACAGTCACAAAGACAGAGGGTAGACGGTGGGTGCCAGGCGCTGGGGGAGGAGGGTCCTGTTTAATGGGGGTGGACTTCCAGTTTGGGAAGATGAAAAGCTTCTGGCCGTGGCGGTGGCGGTAATGACACAACGTGTGCACACTTCGTCGAGATGATGGTCGGCTCTGGGCAGGTTTCCCCTGAGACGGATGAGCGACACCCGCTCTACGCAGCACCTGGTCTGTGCGGGGGGCCAGGCGCCCCACAGGTGTCTGTCCCCAGGCAAGGGCACACAAGACACAGTCCAGCATGTGCTCACCGACACTGGGATTCTTCCTCTGAAAAACCCACAACTGACGGGATGAGGTGGTGCCTGGCCAACGTGAAGTGATGTTTCAGGAAGTGGGGGGAGGGGCTGAGGGGCTCGAACTGGGGGAGGCACGGAGGCCGGCGGGCGCCCGAGGACTGCGCAGGGGCCAGCTTGACTCCCGAGAGGACGTCGGGAACGAGGCAACCCCGACTCCTCCAGTGTCCTGACTCTACTATGTACATGGGTCCCCTCTGCGTACTGCCCGGGGTTACTGAGGCTCAGAAAATCCAAACACGGCAAGTGGCTTTTTGAAGCAGAATCCGAAACCGGAGCTAAGACCCCTGGAAGCGACGGCTCAGGAATCAGACACCCAACGGCAAAGGGAACCCACCTCCTAAAATTCATGTTGGAATTGACTCTGCCGTCAGGGTCGCCACGCGCCCGGTCAGCCGGCTGTGTTTCAGGGGGAGGGCACTGGCCTTCAGCTCGTCACTGTGACTCTGGATAAGGGTGACCCCATCACCTGTGCTCCAGGCTGACCTCCTGACCTCTGAGGGGCTCCAAGGCTTTGATCTCGAGCTCTCTGCCCAAGGAAGGTGCTCAGAAGCCTCGGCCCAGCCCCTGGAATGGGAAAGCTGGGGACTGTGGAGGGTTTATACCCTCCCGAGGAGGAAACGCTGGAAATGCTCGACTCTGCCCTCCACACGCCGCAGGACCCTCTGTCTCGTCTTCCGGCGCCGCTGCCCCACACACTCCAGGCCTTTCCGGAATGTCCCCTGGGTTTTCCATGGTGCGTTCAGTGCATAGATGCTGACACACGTTGGGCAACATCCAAACTGGGAACATTTCTGGCCACAAGTGCGGGCATTCTCACAGACCAAACAGGGACAGAGTGTACCACTGCGCCCAGCCCCTCAGCACAGCCGACCCTGGGTTTGTCTGAGCAGACGCCGGGCCTGTCCCTCCTGAATGTGAGGTCGTGTCCCCTTGGTTCAAGACCCAGGACTAGAGGTTAGAGCACACGACTCCCCAGGCCTTTATGATACTGTGTGCTCGGCTGCAAGTAGTCTGGGGGCTGCTGGCCTGCCGGCCAGAGAGGCTCCAGAAAGAGCTGCTCACCGAGGAGACGCAGCCTCGCACTCTCCAGCTGTCTGATCCCAGCCCAGCCACCCGGCTGATGCTAGTGCCTCCTCCAGAAGGCCCACTCTGGGGGCTCCAGACCAGAGCAGGAGAGGATGGGCCCAGGTCCCGGGGTGTCAGCTCCCGACGGGGGAGGGATTCCAAAACCAGCACGCAGCTGGCTCTCCCTTGACCTAGCTGCCTCCAGGTCCCAGCTGTCCCCACCCTCGGCCCTGGCCACAACCAACCCTGCGGTGACCAGCAGCCCCTCTGCAGGACATCTCCGCCCCCCATGCCCCACACCCTTGGGCCATCGCAGTCCGCCCCCCCCCCCTCCCCCCTCCCCACTGCCCCCCCCCCCCCCCCCCCCACCCCCGACTGGCTCTCAACCCCCATTGCTTTCCCCGCCCCGGCCGCCCCGCTCACCCGCTCCTCCTCCGCACGGATGTCCGGCATGGTGCTCAGGCAGAGGCCGACCGCCGTGGCAGCCACGAAGGCGACGGACACACAGGCGAAGAGCTTGCCGGCGGGTCCAGAGCGCGGGTCGTCTAGCAGGTCCCGCAGGCGCCGCTGGGGCCCTGCGTCCCCCGGGCTCCCGGGTGGCCCCGTGCGCGCCTCGGCCGCCTCCTCCTCGCGGCGGCGCAGACGGCGCAGGCAGCAGCGCTCCAGCCGGGCCTCGTCGATGCCCCAGTAGGCCAGCTCGTCGCGGAAGGCCAGCGCGCAGGGGCCACGCAGCAGCCGCAGCTTGCCGGCCCGCAGCAGCGCCACGATGGCACGGAAGGCGCACGGGCTGCGGTCGAAGAAGAACTCGTCGCGGCCCGCGTCGTAGTCGTCGCACACGCGCAGGAACTCGTCACGGCTGCGGCAGGCCCGCAGGCGCTCCAGGCGCGCGAGGGGACATCGCGCCAGCGCCGCCCAGGCCAGGCGCACCCTGCAGCCGCCCACGTTGATGATGACCACGCGCCCGCCGCCCGCGGGCTCGGGGAGCCGTGCCATGGCCCCCGGCGCCGGGCCGGACTCGGGACGCAGGGCCTGTGAAGGAACAGAGGGGTCAGGGCGCGCGGGGGATCCGGCCTGGGAAGAAGCCTGGTTGTCCCAGCTGCACGGAACTGGGGATCGGACACCTTCAGCCCCCGCAGGCCCGCTTAGGTGGTGCCCTAGTGTCAATTCACCTCCCCGGGAGGCAGTGGCCAAGGGTGGGCCACCAACCTGATGCCCCGCAGGGGATCCTGGCCAGGCTCACCGGCTCCTCGAATAAAGGTCAAGAGGGAAAGACGGAGGGGATGTTTTCATCAAGCTGTGGGGCGGTGTGCTCTTGGGCTCTGGAAGGGGAGTCGGTGGCTGGAAGCGAGAGCCAGTGATCAAGTTTGAATCTGTGTGCACTCAGCCAGCCGTCAGGAGCACAGGATGAACACGTGTGCCGGACACCTGACACGGAGGACGTGGCTCCTTGGAGTTCCAGTTTGGGGGACAGAGAGCCCAGCACCCCCAGCTGCAAGGTGAGGTCTATAGGAGAAATAAGAGGGTGCTCTGGAGGGCACCCAGAAAGGTCTGGGAGAGCCAGGAGAGCCTCTCAGAAGCAAGGAGTTGGGGAAAAGTGGAAGCTGTTTTGAAGGAGTGAGCTTTCACTTACTGGAAAGCAATCATCATTTGGGTCCCGGGAACTCGCTGCCAAGACTTCCTGTTGCTCCCCCAAATCGAAGACTCAGAGGGGTGCAGAGCTCTGAGAGTTCCCCGTCCCCCCACCCCGGGCTCCCAGACCGAACCTCCTTCGTGGGGTCACAAGGCAACTGCACTCGAAACGGCAGGAAACAGCAGCGATTTGTCAGGGAAGACTTGCGGGGGCAGCGTGTGGCCCTCACGGGGACACTGTCCCGAGAGCCCGGAGCCCCGTGAGGCTGACGGGCGTGGACCAGCGGCTGCAGCTCCCGGGAAGGCGCTGAAGGTCCCATGCCCCAGAGGGAAGCACGGCTCACCCTCCCCCGGGGACTGCGGAACCCAAAGCAGTTTCTGCTGGGAATACCGGCGTCTGGTCTCACCACGAGGGACAGAGAACTAACTCAGCTTACGTGACACGCACGTGCGGAAGCCTGTCTGGGCTGCCCGGGGCTTCGGTCCCTCCCCCTCACCCTACACCCCTTTTGAGTCACATACTAAGTCCGTGGAACGGGATGAGGGACTCGTTTTGTAGCTAAATCAGGTGCGTGCTCCCAAGTGTCCGTCAGTGCGTGCGCAGGCGTTGAAAGGTCTGGGTAATCCGCCGGACCCCGGGACTTCTGGGAACACGGTTCTGCATACATGTAGAACACACACGTTCTACAGAGCATGCATGTTCCCTCCAGAACGTACCTGTAGAAATAGAAGTATAAATCATCCCTCACTTTACAAGTGTTCTCAGTCGACTTCTTGCTCACTCAGGAGACCACCCTGTCACTTCCAAGCACCTTGAACACATCCCCACTCCCAACACAAACACAATAGTCCTGTAAGTGCAGCTGGTTTTAAGAGGACGGACGGCTCAACAGAAAAATGAGCAAAAGTCACAAAGTTTACAGGAAAGGAAAAATTAGCCTTTCCACATATGAAGAGATATGCAGCCTCATTCATGACCAAAGAGAGCTCTCCGGTCCCCACGAGGCAGCGTGTGGGAACCGATGAGGAAGTCTGATCTCTCTGTTGTCAAGGTGTGGGGTCTGTCAGACTCGTTCCCTTCTCAGGGACCGTCATTTGGTCCAACTGTTATGGCAGCAGCCGAGGGTGTGAACTCCGGGGACCTTAGCTAGGCCACGTGCTCAGGAAAAGGGTAAACTAGAAAAAAATCCATCTGCTGGTGTGGGAAGACCATGAGATTTCTTGGCCAGGCTCTGGGTGTAGAATGAGAGCACGGACCTCAACGCCCACCATCACAGTCGTTTGCGGCTGGGATTTCGGTCTGTGAAACTCGAAGCGCAGATACGATCGCCCACAGAAGGTAGTTTCGGGTTGGCACTGTCCCCACGGCTCGTGTTAGAGCCGCACACCCTCCGTCCACAGCTGCGGTTCTCAACCTGACACAGGTGGCGTTTGGTGGGGCTGGGGCCACTGTTTGCGCTGGTGACTGACAGCCGTGGGCGGAGAGCATGGGGGCTGCTGACTCTGGGATGCACAGGATGTCCCCAGAACCCAGGGTGGGAAGCAGCCCAGATGTCCACAGTGCCACGGCTCTCGTGGGACCAGCTCTCGCGTCCAGCCTTGTGGGATTCCCACAGACGGAGCCTCAGTGACGATGAAGTCACAAAGCGAAATTATGAAACACACATGGCTACAATCCTCAGAGCAAGAAGCAGCAGGCACCTGAGGGGTAAGAGAGGCCCTAGGGTCTTTAGATAATAGAGCTTCCAAACACAAAGACGTGAAAGAAGGGGTTAGAGACATCACGGAGAAAAGAGACCAGGCGGAGTAGAACAAGAAACAGCGGCCCTGGGCCCACATCCCCCTGGACCTATCTCTCCTGGTCCCCAAGTCTCCCTGGGCCCATGTCCCCCGGACCTATCTCTCCTGGTCCCCATGTTCCCCTGGGCCCTGGGTCTCCCTGGTCTCGTGTTCGCCTGAACCCCACCTCCCACGGGTCTGTGCCCATGCTGGGTGGACTCCTAGCTATCCGTGCCTGGGTCTCTGTGCCTGCGTCCCCCTGGCCGCTGGGTCCCGCCCTGCCCGCCCTGCCGGCCCAGCACAGACCAAAGATGCTTGAGGCTCAGCGTCTGCAGGGGCACCTCTCACTAGGGCAGAGAGGCAGGGGTGAGGGGCCCCCGGAGCTCCCAGTCCTGCGAGGGGCCTCCCTGGCTGACCTACTCTGCCTTCCTCTCCTGGACACTCGGGACTGGTGTTCCTGGGGCGGCTTCCTGGGGAAGCCTGGGGAGGCTTCTGCATCCCTTCCTCCAGGAACTGAGCTCAGACATCTGGGGAGTGTGAGGCTCTGTGTGTGGAGCCCGTGGTTCCCAGAACTTTAAAGAGCCAGGAAGATGCAAGGAACAGTGTCTAGAAGAGAATGTTATCAGTGGCTTCACGCGTGCATGCGTCCGTGTCACTGATTACTCAAAGCCTCTGATGCATCAGGCTCTTACCTTCTAGAATGGAACCTCCTGCTTCTTGTAGGGAGAAAAGGGACTTAGAGCTACTATCTTGGGCTGCTTGACTATGTTTTTCCTTCTTTCTTTTTTTAAAAAGATTTTATTTGCTAGAGACAGAGAGTGAGTGCAAGCAGGAGAAGGTGCAGAGGGAGAAGCTGGCTCCCTGCTGAGCAGAGAGCCCGATGTGGGACTCGATCTCAGGACCCGAGATCAAAGGCAGACACTTCACTGACCGCGCCCCCCAGACGTCCCTTGACTGGGTCTTGCAGGGAAATTACTGCTCTTTTATGACACGGTCTCTGAACCTCACAGTGCCCACTTCTGCTCTGGCGATCACCTGCCTCCCCCACGTAATTTGTCATCCAAACCGGGACTCTTAGAAGGCACAGGGTGCTGTGAATGATGGCAGGGGACCCAGAGTCAACTGAGAGGGACGTTACCCTGCCCCAGAAGGGCAGAAGTGGGGTCCCGCAGGGGGCCCTGAGTGGGGGCCGGCACCTGCTGGCCTTCACACCCCCACGGTCCGTCTCCCAGCTCCTCCGGGGACGGCTGGTGTGACAGCTCTCAGAGTCCCTAAGCACCTCTCCTGGCCATGCCAACAGAAACCAGGACCAGAAGAGCAGGGTAGGGTGGGGAAGGGGGAGGAAGCCTGACTGGGGGGCACTAGGAGCTGGGGCGGGGTGTCTGCGGACAGGGACAGCCGCTCGGTGACCGTCTGAGGGCCTGCTGGGTCTAGGATTGCCATGAATCCTTTGTCACGGGTGGGCACCGGCCCTCGGGGGCAGGTTTGAGGGCTCACTTTGCAGACTGCAAACCACGTGTCCCAGGGCGGGGTGCGGCTGCACTGCAGGGTCAAGGAGCCGGGAGCTTGCTGTTCCCCCACACCCTCTTCCCTTCTGATTCCCGCTGACTCATGCAGGATGCAACAGGTCCTGCTAACCTGTCTGCCTCCGTCCATTTGCCCGATCAGCCAATCTGGGACGGTGCTTGGCTGGGCTGGGTGTTCCTTGGGTGAAGTGGGAGTCCACAGCGCCAGCAGGCAGAGCCACATCTCCCCAAAGCACCATCGGGATGCGAGGGAGAGCCCCGTCTCTGTGTCCTGGCACTTCTGTGTTCACAGGGGCTGGGCTCGCTGCGGCCAGCCGTCCCCTTGGGCAGCTGCGAGCCCTCCCCTCCAGCAGGGGTGTGCCTGCTGCTCACAACTGCTTGGCAGGCAGACTCCTCCGGGTTCCTCCAGGGCCTAGAGAGCCCGACCGTCCCCGAGGCTCCCACTGGTGTTCCTTGAGGTGACGGGAATCTGACTCCTTCTCATTTGAGAAGACCGTGCTTCTGAGACCGGAGAGCGCTCCCCTGGCATTCTGTGTGTGCTGTGGGACGGTAAGACGACCTCTCCCTCCTCACTTTGAAGTCCACGTGTATTTCGGAACGCGCATAACAGGGCTCCCAGCTAGCGCATCTGGGGCCACGGGACAGTGAGGGCTGGGCTGTGGGTGAGGCCCAGATGGTGAGCGCTGCTGGGGTGTTCGGTGCCGTCCTCAGGAGGCTTGGCCAGGGGCACTCCGCCACACCCTAACCCTAACCCTGATGCTGGTGCAGTGCTCTATGATGTCACACGAGGAACCAGCACCGGCGACCTTCCGCCCATGTCCGCACACACACTCCCAAGACTGACTTCGGAACCTAACGCCATTTGCTCACGGTGCGCAGCTCACAGATTCCCGAGGAACGAGGTCTGAGTCGTCCCCTTAGGGCATTTTGTATAACCAGACACACAAGGTCGGGAGCTGGATGAAGAGGACCCGTCTGTCCGGAGGCTCAGAGCGAGGCCAGGCCGGCTTCCCCGGAGCGGTGTCTGCCTGTGGGCAGGAACGCTGCATCTGGGCGCAGAAGACAGTGAGTGCACGCTTGTCCCCAACCTCCTTGCCCATCAGCACAGAGCCGGCAGCAGCTCCACGCCGGCCGGTGGTCCCAATCCTGCGAACTTCTGAACCCCTCCAGGCTGACACCCGTGTCTGATGTTCTGGGGAATTCCCGACTCGTGTGATGGGTGCAGTGTCCACCGCTGAATGCCTCTGGTCTGAGCCTCCATCCTCTCCCGCTGAAGAGCCTCATCCTCTCCTGGCCGGTCTCCCTCCTTGTCCCCTGCACCCAGCACTGCAGCCAGGGAGGCTCCCGAGGCCTGGCAGTCATCCCTCCGACCACATCTTCCCTGGTGTCTGCTCCCCGGACGGAGGTCTGGCCCGTGCGGTGTCCTCCTCACCCCCCACGTCCTCCGGCCCCTTCCCTCCCTTGAGATCTGCCTCCATCCCTGAGCTCTCACCACACTGCACACCCCGGCCTTCCCCGGCCTCCCGCCTGCCGAGGGCTTCCCTCCACCCGTGGTGCTCTCCTCCTAGACGAGCAGGCAGTGTGCTCACTTGCTTTAGCCACTGATTGTTTTCTTTCTGCTCCTGCTGGGACAAGGGCTCCACGAGGGAATGGCTGCCATCTTGTGCCCACAGACGTATCAAACACCCCAACACGGTCCCCGGAGTGTGGCGGGTGGTCAGGCAGTCCTTGCCGAAGGGACAAGCTAGGGACAAATAGGCCTCAGACGTGCCCCAGATGTTGCCGGCCCATCTGCCCCACGCGTCACGTGTCTCCCGAACGGTGGCAAGGCCGGCATGAGCGTGGCTGGAGTGTGGTCTGGCCCGTGGCCTAGCACATAGGAGGTTTCTGGTGGAACTGGTCGGGGGGCCTAAGAACACAGCCCACGTGATTTCCCCTAAAGAAACGGCCGGAGCCCGAGTCCTGAAGCAGAGGCTCAGGAAGACTGAGTCAGGCTCGGCAGGCCAGGACGGCAC